GTCTTTTGATTGGTGCATTTAATGCATTGGCGTTCAGTGCTACTATTGATAATGTGGACTTTTGCTGTCATTTTGCTATATTTAATTTTTGTAGCTTTTTCTTTTTATGGTGTGGATTTATTGGTGTATTGATAACTCCTTTTTCTGTGTTGTTTTGATGCTGTTTTCATTGTATTGTTTTCTGGGTGGTATTGTCCGCTGTGATAATGCCGGGATTTGTGTGTTACTGCTGCTGTTTCTCTGACCATAGTGATATGATTAGTATCTTTTTTTGTAATGCTGGTCTTGCTTATACTTATTCCTTTAGTTTTTCCTTATTTAGAAATACGTTTATTTTCCCCCTGTATTGAGGATAATTTTGCAGGATATCGGATTTTTGGTTGACAGTTTTTCTTTCAGCGTTTGCTATATATTACTCCATTGTTTTCTCGTCTACATAGTATCCACTGAGAGATCCCAGCGTATCCTTTTTGATTTTTCTTTGTAGGTGACTGTTCTTTTTTCTCTAGCAAGCCTCAAGATTTTCCTTATCATTGAAGTTGGATAAATTGATAGTGTCCCACATCTCCCTCAGGCTTTCTTTGGATTATTTTACTTTTTTAGTTGATTGTTTCTCTCCAGGTTGGCAGTAGTCATAGAGTAATTTCTTTTTAATTGACTCATTTGATTTATCTTTTCTTCCATTCTATTCCTCAGGTCTTTTTACCATGTTGCGTATTTCTGTTATCTCATTGGTTTTCTTCTGGGATTCCTTTGGGGGTGAGGTTTTTAAGTTTCTGAATATCTTCCATTGTTTTCCTGAATCTTCCCCATATCCCTTAAAGGGTCCATCATTCTTTCCCGTTCTGTTTTTCATAGTTTTAGGGCGTCTGCCTAGTGCCCACGAACCTTTATTTGTACATCTTAAAAACTACTTCAACAGTAGAGACTTCACCTCATCTGGGGTCAGTTTATCAAGATATGGGGAGAGGGAATACTCAGTTGTGGCTATCCAACATTGTGCTAAGGTAATCATAAATCAACAGATAATCCTACTGGAAATTCAAATCAAGATGGAAGGAGGGGTGTTTGTATATCCCAGAGAAAGTATTTACACTTATGTTGGCGGATAAACCAAGTGGAGCAACCTCCCATCAGGAAAGATTGCTGAACAGTACTTGCATAGAACCCAAAGAGAGAATATGCCTGGTACTATGTTCCTAATTGGACACTTTCTGTCCTAGTTTCTAGCCCTTGGTGACCTAGGACCCATGTGCTATAAACTACTGGGACTTTAGACCAGTGGTTCTCAACCTGTGGGTTGCAACCCCTTTCACAGGGGTTGCCTGAAACCATCGGAAAACACATTTCTGATGGTCTTAGGAACTGAGACACCGCTCCTCTATCGGTCTCCAGGCGGGTCTGCCCGCAATCAGATAAGCCCACATATGAGTATGCTGCGTGAAGACTGTTACCCACACTACACCATGAGACAAAATTTCATTATTTATAACTAGAAATAAATATTTCACAATATATAACTATATATTGTTTTGTGGTTAATCACTATGCTTTAATTATGCTCAATTTGTAACAATGAAAATACATCTTGCACATCAGATATTTACATGATGATTCATAACAGTAGCAAAATTACAGTTATGAAGTAACAATGAAAGTAATTTTATGGTTGGGGGTCACCACAGCATGAGGAAGTGTATTAAAGGGCTGTGGCCTTAGGAAGGTTGAGAACCACTGCTTTAGACTCTGCCCTTTCAAGGCACCCCATATCATTCATAGGGTGAACAAGAAGATTTGATGTGGAAACCCAACTACACAAACTGGGATTTACCTCAAACTCCACTGCAGTAGATTTAAGGAACCAATATACTCCCTTGGATTTAATGCTGAAATGCTGTAGTATGAGAAGAAGGAGATGACTGCTATCCCAGTGTTACAGAATTGATGGTCATTGCACTTTGGTTCAAAGTGCTAGCCTTCTGTTGTCCTTCCCCCAGGGAGGAAGTTATATGTAAATCCTTGTAATCGGTTCCCCGTTTCCACCCCACCCTCTCTCCACCCTCCCAGTATTGCCACTCTCACCACTGGTCCTGAAGGAATCATCCACTCTGGCTTCCCTGTGTTTCCAGTTCCTATCTGTACCAGTGTACATCGTCTGGTCTAGCCAGATTTGTAAGGTAGAATTGGGATCATGATAGTGGGGAGGGTGAGGGGAAGCATTTAGGAACTAGAGGAAAGTTGTATGTTTCATCATAGCTACTCTGCATCCTGACTGGCTCGTGTCCTCCCCTGACCCTGCCATAAGGGCATGTTCAATCGCCTACAGATGGGCTTTGGGTTTCCACTCCGCATTCCCCCTCGTTCACAATGATGTGATTTTTTGTTCTTTGATGCCTGATACCTCATCCCTTCGACACCTCGTGATTGCACAGGCTGGTGTGCTTCTTCCATGTGGGCTTTGTTGCTTCTGAGCTAGATGGCGCCATGTTTACCTTGAAGCCTTTAAGACCCTAGATGCTTTATCTTTTGATAGCCATCAGCTTTCTTCGCCACATTTGCTTATGCATCCATTTGTCTTAACTGATCATATCCGGGAGGTGAGCATACAATGATATGATTTGTTGTTCTTTAATGCCTGATAAATGATTCCTTTGGCACCTCGTGAGCATGCAGGCTGGTGTGCTTCTTCCATGTGGGCTTTGTTGCTTCTGAGTTAAATGGCAGCTTGTTTACCTTTAAGCCTTTAAGACCCCAGATGCTATATTGTTTGATAGCCAAGCTCCATCAGCTTTCTTCACCACATTTACTTATGCACCTGCTTTGTCTTCAGCGATTGTGTTGGGAAGGTGAGCATTATGGAACCCCAGTTTAATAGAACAGAGTATTCTTGCATTGAGGGAGTACTTGAGTGAAGGCCCAATGTCCACCTGCTACCTTAATACTAAATCTATACATATATGCACATATATCTATTTCTACATCCTCATATATAAATGTATTTACATTTGAACATGCCTTTATTTAGACCTCTATAAATGCCCTTTACCTCCTACCTCTTTCCTTTATTTCCTTTGACTTTCCTCTTGTCCCACTGTCATGTTCAGCCTTCATTAGGGTTTTCAGTACTTCCTCTCGGTTACATCACCCTTGGTCACACCCTCCCAGGCCTCCTACACCCTCCTCACCACTGATTTGGATCACTTGTTCCCTTGTCCCTGGATTTGTTAACACCACTACCTTTCCCCCACCTCCTTAGTTTTTTAATGAAGCCCTGGTACCAAAGTGGTTGTGAGTTGGGGTTCATTCTGAAAGGTTAGCAGTACAAATCCACCAGTCACTCCTCAAGAGAAGACAGGCCTTTTTATTCCAGTAAAGAGTTACAGTCTCAGAAACTCACAGGAACAGTTCTGTCTGTCTTATAGGGCTGCTGTAAAGTGGCATCAATTTGATGGCAGGTTTATTATTGCTTCTTATGACTTGTATTAGTATGGGATACGTATGGTTCTGCCTTTGTCAATGAGTGTTATTGAAAATTTTACCCTATAACCAACCCCCATTGGTTGTGTAAGTAATGCTCATTCACTTAAATATTTAATCTATACAAGTCAACAATTAATGTATTGGCTGAAAACCTGGCCTAAACATCTGTAATTTCCTTTTCTCAGTGTTTTAGGTTTTGTACCAGATACTATCAGTAGAATTACCATATGCCCCAGAAGAATGATTTACAATATTCTCTGTCATAAAGTGATAATGATGTATTTAAAGTGAACAGAGACATATATAAACCTAGATATGTGAATGGACTTTGGGATTACACTTAATTCTTGTCCTAGTCTATGAACGATTAGCTCTTATATCATGGCCATATTAGATAATCACCCTCATCAGAGATCACTGAAGATATGGATGCTACAGCAAAGTGTAGTGAAGAAACTAGATGGTGCCCAAAGTCACAAAGTATAGTTAGTGTCTGGGGTCATAAATGGTTGTATTCAAATAAGTAGCCATCTAAGTGAGAGGTCAACTAAGCTCCACAAAGAAGCCCACCAGCCTGTCTGAACCAAGAATTGTAACTAATAAAACCCAAACCTGAAGGAGGGAATAGTTTCAGAGTTTAAATTGTGAGCACCCAAGCTATGGATAACAGTGGAAGCCCAAAATCCATTTGGAGGATCCCATCTGGATTAAGTCTCCAGTGAATCCCTTCTGACCATTGTTCAGGGATGCAGATACCATTGGTATCCAAAAACATTGTAAAGTTGATTGTGTCAGATGTGGTTAGGTTAGAATGTAACATTTTATCATGTGATCTTTGGCCCAATTTAAAGTTGTTTCCTTTTTTAATATTTTCTGCTTGTTTTTTGATTGAGATATTCCATTTTGCCAGTTTTCCCCCTTTCTGTTTGTGTTTTGTATGATTTTCTGTAGTATATGAAATCCAGGAGACAGTAACTGAACTAATACTGTATATACTTGAGTATAAGCTGACCCGGCTATCAGCCGAGGCACCTAATTCTACCACAAAAACTGCCTTTAAAATGTGCTGAAAAACTCGGCTTATACACGAGTATGAGTGATAATTACCTAGGGGGCATGGCCGATGAGGTTGAGGGAAGTGAGCTAACAATAATGAATATGAGATAGGAGAAAATATCCTAAAATTTCCTGTGGTGATGATTTCACAACTTTCTTAATATGATTGAACTATTAAATTGTATGATAGGTGAATGATATGCCAATCAAACTTTTTTTTAAGTAGTGTTATCTGAAATATTCTTTGCTAGCACTTTCTTATAAATTTATCTAGATTTCTTTTATTAGATATAATATTTGCATATATAGTCTTACGAATATGCTTGTTTTACATACGAGTTGTTTTCATACCTCTTCTGACATTTGGTACTAGGTGTTAGAAGTTTTAGGTCATGTGACTGTAGTTTTATTTCCATACTAAACTCTTGCCCTCTGATTTAGTAACTCTATTTTTCGGTATACAGGATGAAGATTTCAAATCCCAAAAGAACTTCCTCATCAATATGACTTGCAGATTTTGCTGGCAGCTTCCAGAAATAGATTATGAGTGTGCCAACTCCACCAGCTGCATGACAGTGTCCTGTTCTCGGCAGCGCTATCTTACTAATTGTACAGTTCGGGACCACATTCACTGCTTGGGTAAGTCAGAGTTCAGACAGAATTTCAGGACATGTGTGATCAAAACATTGTCTATGTTAGTTTACTTAAAGGAACTTTAATCTGAGATTTGAGAATTAAATTATCAGAATTTGTCAGCAGCCTTTTAGTTATTTTATGCCTCCTTGATTAAAAAGAGGGGGAGTGACATACAGAAAATTTTCAGTTTATAAGTCTTTAAACCATTCTGCCTTTTAAAACTTTACTGACTAGAACAAATTTGCCTCGTATGCTTTTCTTCTATTGTGTTTTAAACTGTATTATTTGATCAAACAAAAGGAAAAATATATAAAGTGTTTAGCATACCTGTTAGGAAACCTGATACTGCTAAGTCAAACCCCATTCATAGTAAACATTTGAGACAGTATAACTACCCCATAGGGTTTCCAACGCTGTAACTGTTTACCGAATCACTCTTATAATATACTGTATAAGAATATTAACCGATTGCATGGAGCTGTGTGTGGCCTCCTCCCTGGGGGACGGACAGCCGGGGAGTGGATGAGGAGAGACGTGGGACGGGGCAAGATGTGACAAAATACCCATTTATAAACTATCAAGGGCTCATG